AAGGCTAATTTGGGGCTCCTTCTGTTGTAAGACCAATAGTCTTTGTTGAACTAGAGGCAAAGCTACTTCTTTTGGTATTGAAGTTTGAGGTTGGTGAATCCTTGATTGTGCCATCCCGAATGCTCCATCATTATGAAGTCTTGCAATGATTCCTTCAATCTCTACAGTTCTCTGTGATAACATAGTAAGACTTCATAATGGCGTCCAACTTGGACTCCGAACTTTCAGCCATACTAATATCTTGACCTCCGGCCATTCTAAGAGAAGGAAAGAAATGACTCTTAAAGAAGGCAGTATTGGTTTAGAGGAGGATACTCTGTAACTTCTAAAACGCCTTAAAACCTTCAAGAAGAGAGATAATCCACTCTCTCCAAGAAAGATAAGACTCCAATATTATAATAGAAGAAATATCAGTTTAGAAGAAGGTAATCCATAATCTCTAAAATTCCAGTACCTTCAAGTAATGGGATAATCCACACTCTAATAAAAAAGAACTAGCTCTGATATGAAAGATGAGTGTAGTCTCGACAAACTATCACGAATTTAGAATACTGATTGAAAATCTAAACAAGAAGCTCAAGAAGAATCGATAAGAACTAGATTAATCAAGTGAGTACAAGAACAATATTAGAAAGATGAGCTAGAGACTAGAGGTGTCTTGTCAAGACTAGGCAATCATAAAGATAATACCCTTGAAAAAAAATCTATACGTAGTTTCTTAAACACTTCTTAATAATCTTGATATTGACTTTGAATGCAACTTAAAGACTTTCTTCTATTAAAAATGAATGTGGTATAAGTGACAAAAAGTGACCTTTTTTTGGTAGCATGCATGAAAGCTTTTGTACATACAAATATAAATTTGGACTTTTGATTATTTATTTAGATAAAAAAGGCCTATATTATGCTATTAAAAAATCAAGATTACAAGAGATTTAATCTATTTGAAGATTATATTTTTTTAACAACAATAAATCTAAAATAACTTGATTAAAAAAATTATAATAATAATAAATATTACTAAGTTATTACGTCTATTAATTATTACATCTAAAATAATAGTTTTATAGATAATATCATAGACATACATAAATATTCTAGTAAATACCTATATAATTAGATAGGAGTAGATAAAAGTAGGTTAATTTCATAAGACCTTTTAAAAAAGCTTCTTAGAAGCTTCGTAGATGTTGCTTTAACTTTATATATGTTTGTAGTTGATTGATAGGTTAGAAACTTGATTAACAAGTTAATCTTATGTTGATAGCTTGTCGAACAAGTTAACTATGTAGTGCACATATAGAAAACTTGTCTTGCAAGTTGAGATACATGTCTTCTAAAGTCAACAAGTTTTCGAGGACTTATAAGACATTGCCACATAGCTCTTAATTAAGAGTATATATGGAGGTAAGAGTGAAATCTTCTTCACTCTTTTTAATGCTTTTTTAGTATTTGGTCTTATTCCAAGACTTTTTTAGTCTTCTTGTTTTTGGCAATAGCCATTCTAGTACAATATTATATCATCTTTGAGTGACTTTTTAATTTCTTTTAGTGATACATGACTATATTAAGGATTTTCCTTCCTCAAGATTCATGTCCTTGACAGATAACATCTTCAAAAGATAACAAACAACCATCTATGATTTTTACATATTTGAACTTAATTTTTTGGACTAATGATATTTCTTATTATTTAACAAATTCTTTGTCTATAAAACAAGTTGAAGTTCTTGAATCTAATAAAACAAAGGTTTTATGATTTATAGATCTTAAATAAGCATCTATTTTAAAATAAGGTGTGGAATTTGAAAAAGAAATACTACTTTTATTGTATGTTGTATAAAATTCCTACTACATATTGTTGTATTACTTGTTGTCTTGTTAGGGAATGTATTAGGCATCTAGCCATAGAAGGTGAAGTTATGTTTCATAAGTATTCAACAAATTCTAATAAGTTTCATTTATACAAGAAAAATATAATCCAAATTTTAATTCAAAAGTACTAAAAAATATTCTTCTTAATAGCATCAATCATACATACATCTCAATTACCTTTTTACTTTCATATTTAAGCAATTTAGATTTTTTTTATAAGCCCTAATTCTTATCAGTGAGCTTTCACAAGCTGTAACTTCTAATTTGACAATCCATATGATGTGAAATTTTGCATGCAATTGGCAATGTAAGTCATCTATACGCTCAAGAAGTTTCAGCCAAATCCTATTTACAGATTGTGAGAAAACCTCAAAAAACTACACTAATGTTACTTAGTAGCCAACTTGAAAGGTGATGCAGAAGTTTCAGTAGTGATTTTTCCTTCTCCAATTGTTAACTTCAATTCAAAATTGGTGTATAGCTTGATCTTCAAGTCTTCCAATACCATGCAAAAATTTATTTTAATCCAACTAGTAGATCTGTAGATATCACAAAAACCCTACCTAATCCAAAACTCCCAACTTATGGTATATTCTTGTACCAAAATCCAAATATCTCTCAATTACACCGTTGGATTATCACAAAATTTTACATACACTTGAAAAACCTAATTAACCAAGTACAGTCAAAATTTGAATTAAAGATGTGACACCAATTTTCAAATTAGCCAAGGGTGCTAGCCTTAATTTTATTTCATAAATCCCAAGTTGCTAATACAAACCCTGATTTTCAACAATAATTTCTAAGTCCCAACAAATCCTACCAATACCAACCTTACGTCTTTGGAACAAGCTCCAACCTAGCTCTCAAATCCTAATCTTCGATCTTTGAATGAAACCGTATTTTTCCCTAAAAAATTGTTTTAGTGGCTAGAGGTCAGATTTTGATCCTATCTCACAAATGGTCAACCTTTGAGTAACAATCTAACCTATCCTAAGGATTTTTTAGTCCAAATGTATCCTCAACTTAATCCTAGTATCAACTATACTAATTATTTACTTCTTCTAACTTGATTTTATCAATTTATGGTCTTTCTAAGGTAATAAAAGAGTCTCTACAGCCTAGAAGGTAAAATTACTAACTAACCTTCAATCTAATAACTATTAAGATAAGAAAATAGCCTAAAAGGCTTTAATAAAAGCCATGTTTAGATACCTCAAATTATTATTGAACCAAGATAATTAATTATTAATTAGAAGTTCAATTTTGATTATAATTTTACTATATAGTTATATTACATCACAACAAAAATCCTTATTCTAGTTGGAAAAATTTATATTATAATATATCATTTATTTTTGCAACCATGCTTCTAATTTTGTCATTGTATTATTTTTTTAGATAATATTGAGTAGTGTATTTAGATTCTCCACAATATAAGTATAATCCTACTCAACAATGACTAGTTTTTTCTTCTATATTAAAAGATTTAAAACATATTGCATTAATTTTCATATATTTTGTGCTTTGATAAATAATTTTTTGAAAAATTAGGAATTGTCATTATAAGTTGACTTGTACTTTTTAATTAAATCTTTATTCTTAGTATCTTTCAAAAAATTAACTATTACATGCAATGGTTTAAATTATTTTAATGAATTTGCTTTTGACATTGTTAACAATAAATCTTTGACATTATCTTGCAACCTATATCAAAATTGATTGATGAGATCTTTATCATTCTAATCTTTATTGCATGCAAGGTTTTGAAATTCAACAATATATATAGTAGTTGAATATGATCTTTGTTGTAGAGATAGGAGTTTTACCTATACTACTCTTTTTAGATCACTTTTTCCAAATGAAATTCTAAACACTTCCAAGAATAAATTCAAATCATAAAAGAGTTAATTTTTTCCCATTAAAAGTGCAAACCAAAAGAAAGCACTTTCAAATAAGAATGCATCTATGAATCCAACTTGACTAAATCTATCATGGTATTGAAAATGATGCAATCTTAAATTTCAAGAATTTCTATTATTTACTTCTTTTATAGGCATTGTTATATTATGTAAAGTTTGCTCAAGTATGCACCAAGCACTTGACTATAGAAGATAAAATAGCAACAATGAGGTCTTAATAATTCTAATAGAACCTAAAACAAACTTCAATTAAATCTTAACAATGTTAATCAAATTTTAATCAAATTCAAAAAAAATCTTATAGAAATTACAAAAAAAGAAAAAAAGAAAAATAAATAAAAAAATTAAAAATCAATCTTGAATATATGTATATGTGTATATATATATATATATATATATATATATAACTTTTAAAAAATATTAAAGAAATAATAATATAGAAATCTATTTAAAATATTAAAAATAAAATCTTTCTTCTTTTTCTTTTCTTCTTGTTTTAACTCTTTTTTTTACTATCTTTTTCTTTCTTTTTATAATAATTTATATACAAGATTTTACTAAAATTACACCTCCTGAAGAATATAGAAACTTTTGTTTTATTAGATATGTAATAAATATAATTCTAAGGTTAACAAACATTCCATTCTTAGAATTTTTTTTTGGATATGCTCTTTTCCTATCATTACAACTATATTTTTGTTTTTGGTTATTTATTTATTTATTTATTTTATTTCTCTTTTATTTTTAGTTTTTTAGATTATATATTAAAAACATGCAATCTTCATTTGATATGTAGCACCTAAATTATTTATACATTAATAAGATGCATTTTTTTTTTAAAGTTATTGATAAAAAGATAATACATATTACCTTCATTTGATACAAAACAGTCTTTGTATCATTAACCTAAAGAAATGCCAAATGTGTTTTGAATACTAAAATCCCAACTAAACAATCAAACCCAAAAGCACAAAATGAAACGATACAATAAGAGAATCTATAGTGGTGGGGAAAAGCAAACCTGAAAAGCAAAAAGACCCTGATTCAGCTCACCTCACAATAAGAATTAGCTGCTGGGTACTGTCCCCTAGAAATTCAGACAATATCTAAACCTAAAAAGTATGAAAAAGAAAAAGAAAACGAATTGGAAAGAAACCTTATCCAATGCTAGTGAAAAATTGGTTCTATGACAGTTCGTAAAGGCCCCACGAAAAGGAAGCGAGCTCCACAACGCTCCTGCTCTTGCTGCTGCTGGGGAATTTTTCTTGATCAACTTGCTTTCAACAAACATGCATTCAGTAGCTTGATTCCTGCCTCTAATGCTGCTTCTACTGCCGCCACCGCTTTTAGCTGGGCCATGCTGACAACAAGGATGTAAGGCGCAAGTCCTATCGTTAGAATTTTTGGCTTCGTTGTTGTATGGTCAGTGCTGTGGCCCTCTCATTAGTGGTGTGAGGAGAAGCGCGATCGGAGTGGGAGAGTGCGCGATAGCTTCCTCTGCACAAAATGTAAGCATCAATTTATTTGCAATCCTCCCCAGCTTCTTTGATCTCGGCGTGTGGGTTTTCCGCTCTGGATATCGTACACAAATTCACTAAGGGGGATAATGGGTCTTGTAATGCGGCCGTTGGTTCTGTTTAAAATGGTCGTTACATTTGGCGACGATGGGTATGGGTTTGGTGGACAGACGCAACCTCGTTTGATTATCTTCCGTAGAATTTTGGGGCTGTTTAAAAAAAATGTGTCTATGAATTCGTGGACTGCTTGTTAGAAATTTCAAAAATGGCGGGTAAAGATTGGATGGGGCAATTCGAATAATGTTGCGAAATTAGAAAAGTGAACATCGTAGCGTGTTTGCTGGACGGCATCCATTCTTTATTTGCATCGCTATCCACCTCGCTGTAATCGCTACTCCCAGTCCCATTCAATGAAGTCGCTCAGTTTCATTGTTTCCTTGTATTTATTTTACGAGATCTTCTGTGTCTTGTAGGGGAAGTGAAGCTGGATCCCGATCGTCTCTTACCAAGCCCTTCGACCCAGAGGAATTCCGGAAGCATGCCCACCGGATGGTGGATTTCATCGCTGATTACCACCGTGATATCGAAAACTTTCCTGTTCAGAGTCAAGTCGAGGTCTGCACATCACTGGCTATGACAAATTCAGCTATGTCTCTTTGGTCTACATTCTGTCGACACTTGCTATCGATTCTTCGTGTATTCCGACACAGGTCGTGCTGAGCATTGCCCCCACTTGGTTGTGATGTCACACTTTCAGCCAGGTTATTTGCAGAAATTGCTTCCGGAAAACGCTCCAGATGAGCCAGAATCACTTGATGATATTTTAGCCGGTAAGTGATTGGTAGGAAACCTGTGGATCTAAGCACAATTCGATTTTCGCACAACGTGAATTATGAGTGCACGGACCAAACGGAACTGGTGCGTTTGTGATGCTGACCAATTGGTTTACCAAGCTCAAGATCGTCTTCCTTCGTCGGCTGCAGATGTGCAGAGCAAAATTGTTCCTGGGGTCACACATTGGCAGAGTCCGAACTTCTATGGCTATTATCCCTCGAATGGAAGCACCGCAGGTTTTCTGGGCGAGATGCTTAGTGGGGGCTTCAACATTATTGGCTTCAGCTGGATTACATCCCCAGCTGCAACAGAGCTGGAGATAATAGTTATGGACTGGCTTGGGAAGCTCTTGAAGCTCCCAAATGAGTTTCTCTCTTCTGGTAACTTCATCTCTTCACAAATTTAAGTCCTTATGTATTTACTTTCTAATCATCAAGGTTTTGGTCGAGGAGTCTGCTTAGTATGGTTTTCAGGAATGCAGGTAAAGGTGGGGGTGTGATACAAGGCACAGCAAGCGAAGCTGTGTTAGTGGTCATGTTAGCAGCTAGGAAGCGTGCAGTGGAGAAACTAACCAAAGAGCAAGGGATCTCAGAATTTGAAGCTTTAGCAAAATTAGTAGCTTACACGTCGGACCAAGCACACTCATGCGTTAATAAGGCTAGCCAGGTGAGAAAAACCTATAAACCTTAAACGCTACGCCTCTGTTTTTAACCTTCTTCTTCTTCTTCCTCTTCTTCTTCCTGACGGTTCTCTTTTGACATTCAGATCGCAGGTATCAGTATAGAAAATCTCCGGCTAATTCCAACAGACGTTTCAACGAACTATGCCATGTCTTCAAAAGTGCTTGCAAATACTCTTGCAAACGATGTTAAAGCTGGACTTGTGCCTTTCTTTCTCTGTGGAGTGGTAAAACCTGATAAATTCCTCCCCAATTATACATTTGTTCAACATTTTGGTTGCTGGGAGTCCGGTTTATTTTTAACACAGATATGGTTGAGTAGATTGTTTGCCTATCTCAGGCAATATTTTGTTGTCTTCTTTACTGAAAATTTTCCGCCCTATTACGCATACTTTACCCCCCACCCTCCATCTTGTGCACTTATTTAGTCTCAAAAATCACTTGGGTACGAGCATGCAGTCTGTTGAGTGTATGATTAGGAAATATATATTCATATAAGGTTGTCAGATGTATGATAATTTTTGAACTCTGTTCAACTCTAACATTTCTGACCGAATTTTTACATGTAGATCGGAAGCACTTCGTCAGCAGCTGTAGACCCTCTGTCAGAACTTGGAGATCTTGCTCAGGTGAGGAAATCGGTTTATTTGTGCCAGCAATCAAGCAGCTTGACCTCTCTGAGTGTGAGTAGTATGATCGAGTGGAATGCTTAATCGATCTTTATTCTGCAGGAGTACGGGATGTGGTTTCATGTGGATGGAGCATATGCAGGAAATGCATGCATCTGTCCAGAATTTCGACCATATCTGAATGGTGTAGAGAAAGCTGACTCATTTGACATGAATCCGCACAAGTGGCTGCTAACCAACTTCGATTGTTCTACATTATGGGTGAAGGTGCGACTCAAATCTTAATTACATTGTGTTGCGCTTTCGTCTCTCATACTCTTTTTGTACGATCTTTTCAGCCTTGGATTTGTTTCTTTTCTTATTTTGATTTAATTAATTTATTCTCCTGAAACACGGATGTGCAGAATCCATCATTGCTGGTAGATGCTCTTTCGACAAACCCAGTGTTTCTGCGTAACAAACAGTCTGATAATAACTTGGTAGTCGATTACAAGGACTGGCAGATTCCTTTGGGGCGAAGATTCAGGTCCTTCTTTCAAAGTCCTTTTCTGTATCACTTATTGTTTACACTTTCCTTGACTAACAAAGAAAATTATGTAGTCTGTCACTCTAAATCCAATTCATACGGTACTGCATTATTATAAGCTCTCTGCAGTGGGTTGTCGCTGATTGTGACCTGCATTCTCTTGTAAAGAATAATCGATGTGAATTGCAATTGTTCATTGTGGATGCAGATCACTGAAGCTGTGGATGGTACTGCGCATGTACGGAAGCAATGGGTTGCGATCCTATATCACCAACCATTGCAATCTAGCAAAGCACTTTGAAGAACTTCTTCGTACCGATTCCAGATTCGAGGTTCTCCTCAATTCTTAATCAACATAGATTTTGGATCTTTATGTGACCTACTTTGGGATTAGGATGGTGGGTATGTGAGTGGAAACATTGGAAAGGGCACTGCACAGCCGTGTTTGTTTTTCTCCAGGCGTTTCTGACTTAGACATACCCAGCCTAGGTTTCAAGATGGGGAGCGTTTCACCTGAAGGCTGCCTCTTCGAACTACAACGCCTATTGTGAAGATGTGCATTACATTGCCGTCATTTTTTTCTACTGTTTATATCTCCTCTCCCCTTGCTTATTTCGAGATTGTTCATAAAATTTCAGGTCGTTGCGCCAAGAGTATTTTCACTAGTTTGCTTCCGGCTCAAATCTCCGGCTAATGATGCAGACAACAGCTGTTCTTTGAGTGCAAAGTTGGTAGATGCCTTAAACAGTGATGGAAATATTTTGATCACCAACACGGTATACTTCATTTTACTTACTTTGATCATCCTTTATTATGCATCTGATGTTAGATACTCGAAACTATTCAGAACGTGCCAGTTTGATGAAGAAACTGATGATGGGACGATAGTACAGGTTCTTGGAGGTCGCTACACTATCAGGTTCACCGTCGGTGCATCTCGCACGGAGTTGCGACACGTTGATGCCGCATGGAAAGTCATTCAGCAGCTAGCATCCAAGCTTCTGAAAGAGTGTAGTTCGTAAACATCCTCAAGTTGTTTAAAAGGTTAGCTATGTTTTCTCATTCCTGCTTGTGAAAATTGCAATGCTCAGCTGACTGTGCGAAATCCCTGTGCTTGTCCCGGTCATATTAGACGAACGTCAGAACTGACCGCTTGATAGACCTAGACAATCGTAATGGTTTTTTCCTTTAAGCTTCTTTTGCAATTGTAAAGAAAGGCTTTCCACATGCTGAAATGAAGCAACAATAAAAATTGTGAAGGGAATATATTGAAGGATGAGCTAGTACCTCTGTGGGTCTTGAACCCTTAAGCATAGGTCTGCGACGTGTGCGCTAGTACTTTCTGCATGTGTTCATATACCATGTCCCAGATCGTTCTGTTGATAAACAATTCATTATTTGCTTCCAAAACCGACTAAGGCCAAGTCATAGAATACTTGATTGGAGGATTTAAAAAAATTATTAACATGTTTTATTTAAGTTATAAACTAATATCAAGTTTATATTTAGTTGGATATTGCCTCCAGGAAGAATCACCAAAGAACATAAGATTAAATTGGTAGAATTTGGTTGTTAAATAGTGTGTTTTAAATTGTAGTTTTACATTTCAAAATGGAATATTATGTTACCTTAATCATTCTGTTTGTAAAATAATAACCATTTTAAAAGTAACATGTATGTCCAAAACACATTCAAAATTAATTAAAAAGTTTCTTTAGTTCATGCTTGTAGAAGATAGTTCTATTGATCTTGCTTTTATAAAATAGTTTTAAGAATTGACCTACCTAGTAGAATAAGAAGGATATTAAGGAGAAAATTAATTAAACAAATTAGAGAAAAAGACTCATAATTTGAAAGATTAGGATTTTACATAAAATATTGTAAATATAAATAAAACTGTGGTACATACAAAGTTTAAATGAATTTTTTCTTATAGCTTTGTCCCTGAAAATCCTTGTAAAGAATGTTGTTTCTTAATCTTGCCTATTGACCAATTAATAGGATTGTAGTAGGAAAGATTGTTACTCCCATTTAGTTCTCCTATATTTATTGCATATATCAATTAAGCTCCATACGATAAAAATTTCTCACTTGGAAATTATTATAAAAAACAACTCTCTTGTAATCTTATCTTTTTATAGCCTAAAAAATAATCTTAGTTCTATGCTATTTCATCAATAATTGTAGAAGCCAATTGAGATTTTGCATAACATTAAATTCTTAATAATGACAACTTTAGTAATCATATCTACTAGATTTTTCAATCATAAGATCTTCTTTAAAGACAACATCTATCACCTATAAGTTCATGTATAAAATGATATATCAATTGAATATGCCGTCTTTGAATACAATATTAGATTTTTGAGATAAATTGTACTTTAAATGCTTCTAAAAACAACATTATAAGCTAGCCTTTGCTCAATTCTTTCAAAACATTCTTCAACCAAATCATTTCTTTTCTAGTTTTAGAAATGATTATATACTTTGTTTTAGTACTTAATAAGCGAAGACATTTTTGAAGCTTAGTACTAAAGCAATAATAAATGTTCTATTCTATTTCCATTTGCACAATTTTGTCTTTCGTGTCTAATTTTGTTTAGTTTTGTTTACTTTAGTTCTGTTCTATTTTGTCGTACTTTGAGATGAGGTTTTATGTTGTTGTGGATTAGAAAGATCTTAGACTTTTGAGATAGATCGGTTCTATTTTATTGCTATCAAAGTATGTATTAGACTATTCTTTGGTAGTATGTTGATAGTCATCATTTAGTTTGAGATCAGTTGTTGTGGTTACATTGGATATTATATTGAAGCTACCATTAGCTACTTTTAAAAAGTCAACTAGAAGGTGAAAAGATATTATAATAGTGGAGTCCAACAAGAAATTATAGTATAGAAGATATGGTGGAGCAATCCTAGATGGATGCTCATATACAACACATCTTAAGCCAAATAGCTACTTTGCAAGAGTAAATAGCAGCTTTTAGAATAAGAAAGTCGACATTTGCTAGAGTGAAATTGAGTAAGCCTAGTACATATTCTAGGACTTCAAAGTAAGATGATGTTTGTCAATGGCTCTTCAATATGTGACAATACCTCCAACTATTTAAGAAAAATACTACTCAAGGAATTATATATGTAGCTAGCTATTTGAGAGATACGGCAACCATTTGGTAGCAATATCAAGTTCAAAGCTATAAAGCTCAAGGTGGATTTTGTAATTGGGAGGAATTTTAGACCAAGTTTAAAAATCAATTTTAATTCATCAATGTGGAGAAGATAATATGCGATCAATTGACAAATCTTACACAATCTAAGTTGATGTAAGATTATATCTTTCAATTCAAGTCACTAACTCTCCAAATTGGCAATGTTTCAAAGATAGAGATGATGATTTGGTTTCTATGAGATTTGAAACTTGGGATGTAGCAAGAGGTAGAACAAAGGGATCTATAAATATTTGAAGAAGCAATTAGGATTTTAGAGATAATTAATACTATGGATTTCAAAAATTATAGAGCACAACCTATAGCACAAAGTCCTATGCTGCTTTCTAATGCTATGTCACAATAATCAATGCTATTAGAAATTAATGCCTTATAAGGATCATTGACATTGTAAAGATGAAAAATATTGGTATAAAAGAGATTGTATTTCTATTGTCAAGAGCCACGCTATCAGATCAGAGGTTGTCTAAAAATTCAAAATTTAAGTGCCAACAAAACAAGGCAAGTTCACAATCTTGAGACTCATCAAGTCGATAATGAGACACAGTAGGGAAAAAAAGCTCTCCAATAAAGGCACCAAGGACCTGTATTGGGAATAACTACTATATCTTAGAGAAAAATGATATAGCCTCAAATAACTATAAAATGAGTCAATTTATGCATCTAATGAGACTTCTAAGAAAACAACTATGTCAAGTGCTTGTAGATTGTAGCTCTACAAAAAATTGCATCTCGATTGAAATTGCCAATCGATTTGGAATTAAAATTAAGATAATCAAGGGAGGAAGTATATACCTTATAAATAACCAAGAGAATGTATTGAATAAGACATATAAAGAAGAAACCTTGAAATTGACAAACATCTATGTCTTAAGAGAGAGGTTCAAAGTAACAAAGCTAAGTTATGATATTATCTTTGTTATGCTATGGCTAAAGGTGAAAAATAAGCAAGTTGATTGGATAGCAAAGACAATCACCTTCAAAGAAGGTGGAGATAAGGTAATTCTTTGTACTTTCACATTAAAAGAAAAAAAAATATAATCTGTAACTAAAGACTTACTCGTAGAGATGACCTTTATGAAGAAGCAAATACACCATAAGCAACTAATATATATGGTGGTTCCAAATCTTGCATCAATGGTAGAAAAGACAACCAAAAGAATAAAACAAGCAGGGCAACTCATATAGAAATATTGGAATGTCTTTCCAACTGACGTACGTAGTGGCGTGCTTCTTAATTGAGGTGCCTCCTTTCAAATAGAACTATTGTCTAGAACCAAACTATTAAGTTGGCCAATTTATTGCTTAGCACCAAATAAACTTAAAAAGCTGTAGAAGACATTAGATTAACTATTGAAAAAGGATCTTATTTGAGAAAGTATATTATAATAGAGACTACTTGTATTCTTTACATCCAAGAAGGATGGTAGACTTCAACTCTGCATTAACTATTGAGGCTTCAATAAATAGAGTGTTAAGAATGCATATCCACTTCTACAAATAAATGATCTTTTTGATCAACTTCAAGGTGCAACCAACTTTAGCAAATTGGATCTTTGGAGTGGCTATTGGTTGATATCTATTGCAAGAGAGGATACAAAAAGATGGCATTTTGTATGTGCTATGGATATTTTGAATAGCTTGTTTTACCTTTTGGGCTCACCAATGCACCAACTTCTTTTATAAGTCACATAAATAGATTGTTTTGGGACCTTTTAGATAAGTATGTAATTGTCTTCATTGATGATATCCTTGTATATATTAAAATCCTTGAGAAGGATGAGTAACACCTACAAGAAGTACTATGTGGACTACAAGATAGTTGTTTCTATTACAAGCAATTGGAATGTAAACTTTGGAAGTCAAAAGTCACTTTTTTGGAGCATGTGGTGCCATCTAAAGACATGTGCATAGAGAAGGATAAGATGAAAGTAATAGGAGATTGGCCAACCTCTAAAGATACTTTTCAAGTTTTCTTATTTTTAGGCTTTAATGGATATTATTGCTGTTTTGTTTGGTGATTTGTACACATTGCTATCTCATTAACAAATGTGTTAGAAAAGGATGCTCTACTTGAATGGAAATTGGAGCAGCAAAGAACCTTTGATAGGTTGAAAGAGGCACTTATTACTACCCAAATATTGCAACTATATGATCTTAACCTTCATTGTATACTTAACATTGATGCTTTTAACTTTTGTATAGGAGCTATCCTTCAATAAGACTTTGATAGGGGCCTTTAACCTATGGCATATGAATCACGTAAGCTCAGAAGGATAGAGCACAATTATTCTACACATGATTGAGAACAATTAACAATTGTACACACCATAAAAGTGTAGCAACACTATTTGTTAGAAAAGCTAGTAATTTTTTTAGATTGACCATTGATTATTGCTACATAATTTGTATGTGAAAAATATGAAATCACAATATCATTGTTGAGAAGAACAATTATAATTTTTTAATATCTAGCTTGAGTATAAGCAAGGGTAATAATATGTTGTATTAGACAACTTATTACAAAGATCAAACTTGAAGGCCAAATCAAGAGATAAGGTAGAAGTCACTACTATTAGTAGTATCATTTCAAATCTAATCAAAGAAGCAAAATAAAAAGAAGCTACACATTGGGATGCTTATTTCAAGATGATTAGCAATTGATTGAAAGTAAATAATATATAAAATCAAAATTATAGTTTTAGTAATAGCTTGTTCTATTTCAAAAAGCGGATTTATGTACCTGACAATGTTATACTTTAGATGAGCATACTTCAAGAGGAACATGATATCCCAATATTTGGACATCTAAGGTGAGACAAGACTCCAGAATGGATTTCAAGGATATGAATTTGGACAGGTTTGGATCATGATGTTTGATCTTTTAGGTATTCTTGTAAGCCATGTTAATGTAATAAAATATGAAATGTAATATCTCTTAGATAATTGTAATCAATATTGTTATCTATGGCATATTGAGAGTACATGACTATAGATCTTATTATGTATTTATTGCAAATGCCTCATAATCACACCATGGTTGCCATCTT